GTTGGGATCACAGGTGTGTCTATCCCATGGAGCTGCCTCTTGATTTGACTCTGATGGCTAACCAACCTTGCCACTGGCTTGGAGCAGAAAGCTGAAGGAAATGTCTTTCTTACTCATCCAACGAATGAGTTGAAAAAAAGCTAGATGTTGGCTTCATCAGATAAAATCAGTAAGACCTTTCTCAAGCTCTAGATTTAGTTATTCTGCCAGGCATGGTGGTACACACCTATTATTCTAGCACTCAGGAGGCTGAGGCAAGAGAATTGTAAGTTTGAGGACAGTCTGAGCTACATAGTGAGACCCTGTCTCAACAAAACAAAACAAAAAATAGATTTAATTAGCCTAAGTCAAAATAGAATAAGAAAATAAGCAAAATCCTGTGTGCTAACTTAGGCTTCTTAATTTAGCAGTGTGGCTGCCGAGAGGTCACAAGTACAGTATGGGGTGAGAAGTCGGGACTCTGGGGCTGAAGAACCTGGGGTCCAGTCTATTTCCGCTGCTCACTGCGGGAGTGGGTGAGCAGCCTGGCCTCCCCTGAGGCGTCCATAGCTCCACTGCACCCGCCATGTGGGCTTGGCGAGGTACCTACGTCTCGACACTGGCCCTTTGTCTGTGAGGTAGGGATAACAACAGTCCTGGCCTGGATGGCATTTCTGAAGCAAAGTGCTAGCAAAGTCCTGGAACCTGCCATGTGGCCGATGACCACTAGCTGTTGCGATAAAGAATGTGGATCCTGAAACAAGTCACAGTGATGCACACCTATAATCCCTGCACTCTGGGAGGCTGAGGCAGGAGAATCACAAATTTGCACACAATTAGCAACCTAGCAAGATGCTCTCAAAATATAGAAAAAGGCTAGGGATGTAGCTTGATGTGAAGGCCCTAGGTTCAATCATCAGGACCACAAAAAAGAGGGGGAGGACTCTGAAATGTGTTTTTATTTAATGGCCTTTACACTTCTATTCCTGGTGGGTTCCAATGATTAAAATGTGTTCAGAAGAGGAAAGACAGGCTATTTTGGTTAGTAAACTTTTATAAGCTTAGTTGAATCATTCCATTGATTTTTTTTTTTTTTTAAAAGCAAAAGGCATTTAGTGTAGCTCTACAGCAAATAAGACCTGTAAAGTGGTCCTCAGTGTGCTGGGTGTCTCTGGGACATCTCTAGGAGATCTAAGATTATTACCCAGGAATGTGAATGATGTGGGAATTATAGATGCTGATGACCCAGAGGCCTGGTTCCTTGGACAACACAGCCAACAAGGACATGTTTGTGTCTGAGAGGCATTAAAAGTGTAGTAGAAAGAGCACTGGGTTTTGTTTAGATTGGGCGCTGCTTAACCTTGTAAACTTGAGTAAGTTTACTAACTTCTAGGCATCAATGCTTTCATCCTTCAGATAAACATGATAAAATCGACTTCATAAACTTGGAGGAGGGTTAAACACCACCATTAGCACATAGTAAAGGCTCAATAGATATTTTCTTTCCCCAACATAATCTCCTCTTTTCCAAAAGTATAAATGATTCATTTGACAAACCCAGAGGTAGTAAGCCTAGGAAAGCATAGGCAGGGACAAAATGATTCAAAATATATCTGTAGTTTGTTGTTGATAAATAACTGTACTCTTCAAATATTTGACCTAGCACCATGCTTTATAAATACCTGATGTTATAAACGGTTCACACTCTAAGGTGGTGTGCCAGGTGTGTAAATCGGACAGACAAGTAGGAATTTGCATTCTAGATCAGCTGTCTTAAAACACCCCCCAAGTTAAATACATATACCCAGCTCCAGACCACAATGTCCCCCTCTAGAGCACCGACACTTCATTCTCTCTGAGTGTGCACTTTTAAATTATGCCCAGTAAGCTTCTTTATGCCCCTCACGAGAAAGTGATGTTTCCTCTCTGCTATCCCCAGTGTAAAAAAGCACTTTTAGAAAATATGGATTCTGTAAAGAAGCTGAGACACATCCTAGAGCAGCTGAGGCCAATTTGTTGACTGTGAGGGGAGACACAAAAAATCATAATCCTTGAGACATAGCCTCCCTGTCTAACCAGGTCCTACCTGCCCTTGGAAATATACTGTATGTAAATAAGTGCATTTGTAATAACAAAAGACAATTTAGGTATGAATTTTTAAGACCAAGTCTGGTCTTAAATTGGCATTTGACCAGTATGAAAAATTGTCAATAGGGGCTGGGGATTTAGTTCAGTGGCACAGCTCCTGCCTGGCAAGCGCAAGGTCGTGAGTTCAATTCCCAGTACTGGAAAAAAAGCAAAAAAGAAAAAAAAAAGAAAAATTGCCAATGCCTTACTGTGTTCAAGTTCCAAATGATCCAAATGAGTTTCTGGTGTACTTTTTTGTTGTCATGAAATGATAAATGTTTAGATACATTTAAGTAAAGATCAGACAACACAGAATCAATGCCAGTAAAATTACATTTGATTGAAATTAAAACAAAATACTTATTTATTTGGATTATAAGGTGAAGCCCTTAGCTCTGTGTGGCTTGGCTTCCATATAAACAAGCAGGAAAGAACCACATATGATGAAAGCTTTTTATTACTTCCTATGTGTTGTGGATGCAGCTGTGCTGAATGATGCACACTGAAAAATAAGAATTCAATCTCTTAGGGGCTGGGGATTTAGCTCAGCAGCACAGCGCCTGCCTGGCAAGCGTGAGGTCATGAGTTCAACTCCCAGTACAGGAAAAAAACAAAAACAAAACAAAACAAAAAAAAGAATTAAATCTCTTAACCCAAATTAAGTTCCAAGATGATGAAAGGTTAAGTATTTTAAAATGAAGCAAGCAAATAAAAAAAAAAATGAATTTAAGATTTACCAAACTGGAGAGTGTCAAGGCAATTGAAGTTTAATAACTCTTGAAGAAATCACCTTTAAAACATGTTCGGATGTTGGCTTATGTTGACTACAAACCATTCTAGAAAGAAATGCGCTGAAGCACTAAAAGTGGCTGTCTTTCCTCTGCAAGAGGGGCAGGAAGCATGAAAGGTGGTTAAGAGTGGAATTCAAGCAGAAGCTGCCTGGACTTAAATCCCAACTCTGCCACTTAAGCAAATGTTCAGTTCACAGTGATTAGGTTTCTCCATCAGTAAACTGGTGATAAGATCGGCCTTACCCCCTGGGGTTGTTGTGAGGATTAAGTTAGTAACACAAAGAAAGTACTGGCAGTAATGCCTGGCATATTATGCCTGGCATAAGAGCTCAATAAGCATTAACTAATTTCTTTTTTAAGGGACAGAATCAATATAGGCAGGTTTTGCCTCCTCTCTTGTATTTTCCAAATCAGCTTTTCTCTCTTATGCACATTACTATTACATTGGGGAAAACACAATAAGTATTTCCTGAAGGCCCTGGAACTTAAATCAGCCAGGATTTTTAGTCACATACATTCAAGTGTTTATTAGAAATCATGGTCTATAGCTGGGGAATGGATACTTCACGGCTGCTGAGATCCAAGAATTAAAAATTAAAGTTGCAGGACTGATTGAAATGAACTTTGTGTCCCATTTCATAAGAGAACAAGCCTATTTCATAAGAAGTTAGGAAAGTTCAGTTCCTATAAAGGACTGCTTGCATCCTTTGGAAAAACTTGTGATTTCTCAGCTTTCTTTCCTCCTCCCTACCCCTCACCCCCAACCTCAAGCTTCTACCCAACTTAGTACTTGGCATTTTCTCCCCTCTAAAACTTACATGGACTTTTTCTTTACTGAAATCACATTTCAGTATAATGGTACATGTCTGGGTTACTTTTCTCTTGTTGCTGAGACACAATACCTCACACCCAAAGTTAAAGGGGGAAAGATTTATTTAGTTCATAGTTTGCAGAGGTTTCAGTTGATAATAGACTGGGCCAAAGGCAATGTGGCAAGGCAAACAGCCATCACAGAGGAGAAACAGTTCATGGTGGGCAAAAGGTAGCAAAGCAACCAAGGGACCTTAGCAGCTTCTTTATACTCTGTCAAGGCTACCAGGCTCAAGACAGTGCCAAATCAGTGAACCGATTTAGAAATCATACATCCTAAATCCCAGCATCACACACACTAGATTCCACCACCTCTGAAAAAGCCCCATCCGTGACCACATGAGGCTTTGGGGGGACATCTAGACACAAACCATAACAACAAATCTTTCAAAACACAATATTTGATTCAGTAAAATTTCTTGGGCAAGGAAAATAAATTAGAGAAAGAAAAAAGGAGTAAATGTACTCAACATCTTTGTTAATGTCTTAGTGGGTCAACAGGTTTCAAGCATAATTAATTTACATATACAGTTATCATTCTTAAAATATGTTTTGAAGTTCCAGGAGCAGAGAGAAAACTAAAGAAGAAATTGCTTTCTCCTTCTTCTATTTTGTTCCAAATTTTCAAGGGAAATTTTTGGGAAAAAGTCTCTGCTCCTTTTGGAGTCTTCTCTTGCCAGCAACTAACAAATCTGTACAGTACAGTTGCCAAGGCAATGTCAAGACCTTGCAGACAGAGGAAGAAAATGTGGTGTGCAGACAAGGAGATGGTGAAAACAGATTAACAACGTGAGCATGGGGTGGGGGTAACTGGAAAAAAATAAAATCACATTTCCCTTTACATCTGTTATTGTAAAGGAGTCCTTTTTCCCCCATACCACCTTGTTCATGAATGCCTGATTTGTTTCCTAACTCTGCCCCAATCTCTGTACCTCAGTATCAAGCCCTGTCAAAATGGAATCTGGTGCATTCTAGTGAGTCAAAGAACTTTTTTACTTGCTCATTTTTCTGTCACTTTTACTTGAAGCCTTAGATCCAACCAGACCCCTCCGGCTCATAACCACAAAGACAGATGCACCCTACACTCTCCAAGCAGCACAAATATTTGCTTATAGAATAAATTGCTCTTGTCAGATATAAGCAACCAGTAGCAAAATATTCACTCATTTTTCTAGGACTATTGCTTTAGTTTTTAAATGCTCAATTTTTCTTTCTTCACCCTCTCCTCTTCAGGAACAATCCTTGGATTTGCCCTCCGACCATACAGAATGAGCTACCGGGAAGTCAAGTACTTCTCCTTTCCTGGGGAGCTTTTGATGAGGATGTTACAGATGTTGGTCTTGCCGCTTATCATTTCCAGTCTTGTCACAGGTACCATATATGGTTTTTGATGTTTTCTCAAGTGTGCTTACTGCAGAAGATTGCTTAGAAAAGCGAATGCTTTAGGTTTCTGCTGGATGCATGCTCTGTTCTAGCAAAAAAAAAAAAAAAGTCCCTTCAAAATGATGGAAAGGAGGCTTTAGTAATGCATGAATGATTATAACTCTCATATTTTATCAATCACAAGAGGAAATGGAATTAAACTGCCTCACCATGAACAAGGTGCCCTGCTAGACACCACACGACCAGCCTTCCCTGACCGCAGTGATGTAGTTGACAACAGCGTACAACAGGTCTGTTTTCTCACCCTCTTATCCCACCCAGATAACATCTGGTTGGACAGCCTATTAGCTATTGATGCAAGAATGCTTGTTCTCAGAGCCACCAGGACTTGAGCGGGAGCCTTCTTGGAAGCCTCATCAAGAGGTAATGCCCACAACACACTCACCAACTCTGCTGCCACCAACACTTTCTCTTTTCCTGGTGTACCCGCATGATTTAATTTCTCCTTCAGTTGCCCCACACACCCTTGTTACCTTTTACACTGGTGGGAGAGTGGGGAGGGGGTGGGAGATTTCTCTGATAAATATATTGTCCATTGACACTTGGATTTTTAACCAATAGAAGTGCAGAATAGGACTCCGCTTTCTATGACACTGCGATGACAGTCTACTACTGCATGGAAAAAGGTTTAAAAGGTTGTTCGCCTACGTGATTGACAAATACAAACAGAGCCAAGAAGTTGCAGAAAAGTGTTACTGTCCTTCCTGCCCACTCTTCTCTTTCCCCGCAGCACATCTCTGATTTGGAGAAGGAATTTCCATAGGCAGTGCCCCAGCAAGATGGTTTCTGGGTTTGTAGCTAAAGCCCAGAACTCAGGTATTACTACTGACCCTGTCCTCTTTTGCACCCGTGGCTCACTCTCCTCTCCTACGCAGTCCACATCACCTCTGTGTGAGCTGTCTCTGAGCATCTTCCCCTCTCTTGCCAAGGAGTTCTCAAAGATGTTTATGATCTCCTCTCAAGATCTCTATGAAATAAGAACTTCACAGTGCAGTTCAAAGGTCATGAGCAACATTCTGACCATCCCATGCTGTTACTTGGCCATAACTTGGTTAGATTTTTTCCTCAGTGTCTTGAGGACCTCTGCTAGCTTCCACTTTTCCAAGACCTTAAACAAGTAATTGCACATATACAATCTTGAATTGGAGAATGAGCAGCTGTAGAGAACGGTTGATTTGGGGTGCTTGTTTGTGAAAATGAGCTGGTCCATTGCTGACTAGAGATAATCATAATCATTACAATTCTGCTCACAGAAGCTGTACTAAATGCTGACATGAGGGCACACTTCCCATTTCTCTTGGAAACAAATTCTTTGCAGAAAGCCTTTATAGGTCAAAACTCACATCCCACATTTTATTTAGAAGAACAGTGAATCCCTCTTTATCATCCCTAATGGCAATACACCTTAGCTGAGATCTGGTTTCCCTGGACACAAACTAAGGGTGTTGAATTCCTTCATACTCTTTCTTCTAGGGTGTAATCAGTATTTAGAAGTTTCTCCTTTCTCTTAATCGTACCAAGAGCCTATAGTGTTACTTTTTAAAAGAGGAAAGCCTCTGTGTGATATAATTAGTAAAAAAATGGTACTTTCCCTGAGTGGCGTGGTAGTTAACCTGTACCCTGAAGTGGATTTCCATGGTGTTTGTAATACTTAATAATCACCTTTTTAAAGGAGTAAGATATTTGGTTGAGCAATTTTACAGAAAAAATGCTACAATCCAATCTCTTTGCAAGGATAAAAGAAAAATTTGGCCAAAGGTTGAAGAAATTATCAATATGTACAATATTGCCATGAAAGAGAAAGCAATTTGAAGGTGCAAACAGCCAATATAGAATGAACTTCTATGATGTAACCTAATTGCAAATTGGGGTACTGCCACATAGAAATCAAGAGAGTCTCAGTTTTTATTCAGGACTGAATGAAGACAAGAAACCTCAGAAGCATAATTTAGCTTTGTTGAAGATCTTTTTAAGGTGTTAGTGTCAAAGGACTAATTTTTAAATTGTAGTAATTTAGATACGGTGATCAATTAGGATGAATGATAGCTTCAGTGAGAATTTCCTTCATGGTTCTGAGTACAAGGATTCTAAACCAAAGGGGGAGGTTAGGACCCAGTGGGAAGGGGAGGGGAAACTTTTGCACATTACATAGGCCTTGGAGTATCTCTGTGTGTATCGGGAGACGGCACTGAGGAATGTGTTGCCTAGGGAGAAAGCAAGTAAGGCTCCATCAGTCTGGAATGGAAAAGCAATCTTAAACGCTTTTAGTTGTCAAGGGGCTAGCTACATATATGAAGCTGCCTTTTCAGGCTGCTTTTTGTTTTCCTACTTTGATAGAATCATGGATACAGAGAAATATTTCTCTTCCACAGGAGAAGGAGCAGAGACAAGAATGATGATAAGTGAGAAATGATTGCAGTGCAGAGTAACATGGACAAAGGGGAGGCAAGGAGACTATTGGGACCTGGACAGTGTAAGGCTAATCAGCTCCAATTGTTGCCAGGTAGCAACAAGAGCCAAACCTTCCCATTTCTTTCAAGAGAACTTAATTATCCAAGTTTTTAAGAGGTCTTCCATCATTTTAAATGTTGATGCAATTCTCAACACGAAGCACTGTAAGCCAAGCAAAGAATATCTGCTCATCCAGTCCAACCCTGGGGATACCAATAAGGGAAATGAAGTTTGGACATTGGTACTAAATTATGAGGAACACACTGTTAAACTTGTGTGTCCATCAGGCCATCTCTGGGTTTCTTTTGTTGCCTGACTCCACCACTGGCAGAGCCTTGCTAAAGCTTAACTCATGATGGTGGAATTAGCTACTGAACCCCACATTACTGCTGGCTAAATGAACAGCTACGGTGAAGGCTCTCTTCTCCATCTTCTGGGTATGCCCACGTTGTGTGGCATTGATGTGGGCTCTTTCTCTACCAGATAAGGACATCGTAAGAACTCGTAGGTCACGGTCCCATTGAAACTGTTTCCCAGTGAGAAACTGCTTCATAGATTTAGTGCTCCTAAATTCAAATGTCCTATGGTTTATGCAGTAGGAAATTAAGAAATTTTTATTCCATTTTGTTTTGGAAGATTCTAGGAAACATGTTATATACTTAATTGTACTGAAGTCATATTTAGTGTTTTTTGTTTGTTTCTGGTTTTTGAGTGGCTAGTTTTGCATTTTGAGGCATTTATGTTATTGTTGTTGTTATTCTTTCTGGTTTCATCTTGTGTTAGGGCTTTTGTTCATTGATTTTTTTTTTTGTAGTGCTGGTATATGATGGGCAAGTGCTCTACTGCCCCGCTTCATCTCCAGCCCTTGAAGTACACTTAAACTCTGCAAAATCTAAGTTAGATTTTTGTACTTGAAATACTGTGTTTGTAAGTTAGGGCTCTAAAGTCCCTGGAAGCTTAGCTCTCCTGGTCCTGAATTGAAATTCCAATCTTCCCAAACATCCCTGGTGTATTAGCATTCCAGAAGCTGCCAGGGAGAAGCTGGGAGAAAGCCTAATGGCTACATGTGTACTCAAGTATCTATTTTTTTAAACAAGAAGAATGTGTCTATGCCAACACATCACACAATAAAACAGGGTGTTGGCACCAATTTTTATTGATTTTGTCAGGATCATAAGCCAACTAGCTATTTCATGCCAGAAATATGAGTTGGTTTGGATGGGTCAGCATGGTGTGAATTCACAGGATAATAATTAAACACCATATCTGGTTTGCTGTGTGAACATAACTATTGCCTCTTCCTTAGTTCTGCATTTGCTTAGAAAACTAGAGCTTTTTCTCATTCTAAATGAGCATTTCCCACAATAACTAACTGCAGAAGAAATCTTCGGTGTTAGCCTAGTTTTCTGGAAGGGAGTAGTTTCTGCAGTCAGTCTGAGTGGAGTGGGGCATACTGTTGGTAAAAGAGGTAAGAGAGGAGGATCTCTCTTCAGTTACAGAAAAGCCACAGTAGCGGCACCCTGGAGGTAGCCCCTTAAAATGAGTGACATTCATCTTACAGCATTCATTCATCCCTTCATTCATACACAGTCATCGACTATGTCCAACATTGAGTTAGACACAGGAGCCACTGGAGTAAGACGAAACAGTGTCCAAATGTGTATTGGGTGAAAAAGAGGGAACCCTCTCAAATCCCTTTATGAATATCCTACATGTAAGTGAACTCCTATTCCAATTCCACTGATTCTCTGCACTCTCACCAAGAGAGAACTTGAATGATTTTTAAGAATATGATCTCAACACTGATGTTCAGAGTTCAGCATCTCCATCCCAAGTCAGCTAATCAGGAGTTCTCCAATGTGGATACCATCTCTATATCACTTACTTAAAATATGCTTTCAATTAATGTGCTTTTATTGTGATGCTTCAAATCATTACCCGAAATGGAATCCCCCTATTCCTTCTGAAGGAAATAATAAAGTACAAAGTCCTAAATTGATACAGTTGCCTGACAGGCTCAGAGAGCCTGAGACCACCCATTCTCTGGTTTAAAAAGATCAGATGATTAGCAAACGCTTACAAAGCACTGAATATATATGAACACTGAAGTAAGACTTCACCTTCCTTGTGATCCAAAGAATTGAAAAGAATTACTTTCTTATTTATTCTACAATTTAATATATAAATTAAGGAAGAGTTTCTATATGACCAGAACCACTGTATTTATCCCACACTGGAAAACACTGGTATAATCTAACCATTCCTGCAGTTTCTCTCCCAAATGATTATCTACCTTCTACCCAAACATTTCAAAAGTGAAAAGGTCTTTAGAACTCATTTGTCCTTGGGAAACTAACATTTTTTTTTTTGGCATCAAAAATAAAAAACAAGCAGGTGTGGTGGCACATTCCTGTAATCCTAGCACTCACAAGGCTGAGGCAGGAGGACTGCTTTGAGTTCAAGGCCAGTCTGACCTA